ATGTTGTTGAGGAGGATTTCGAGCCATTATGTGATGTCGTGGACCCGAGGTGTGCGTTGATTGATGATTTGACTTGTGATGTTGAGTATGACGTGGTTCCTATGTCCTTTGGGTTGTCATCTCGTGTTGTTAAGGATAGTGATAATTTGGAGGAGTTTATTGCATTCGCACCCATGCTCCCGACTCTTGAAATTGTTGAGTACACGTGCGAGATGACACTTGTGATTACCGGGATTGATTCGACGTACTCCACGGATTTTTTCGTATACCCGGAGGTCGATTATGTAGCTAAGGTTCATAATGACTTATCTCTTCTCTTGATGATTATTGATATCCGTGCTCGGTTTCACAAGAATGTGGCCACGAGGTTTTATTTGGTCCGCCTTTGCTCCGTTTTACCGTCCCGATTACTTTTGAAGAATACAAAGGCGTGGCATGATCGACACTTTTTTTTGGACCCCGGTTGATTTTGGTTGGGGGCGTCGAGTTCAAGACGTTAAAATGAGCGCTTCGTGGGAGGCAACCCACGGTTTTTGCTTTTTCTCGTTTTTCGCTTTTTATCAGAAATAAATAGCCTCGGAAACCACACAACACATGGTATTTTCGGAGAATGAAACGGGATTTGGGGCCGAGATTTATGTTGAAAATTGGGTTGACATATGGCAAGGGTTGAAATCGGGTCAAAAATCGGTCGAAAATATTCAAAATATGCCTAAGTATGGAAAAAATAGCCCCAGGCCCGCACAGGCCTGCACTGGCTCAAGGCAGCCCAGGCACTCGCGACCTCGCGTCCGTCCCAGCGCCTCGCGATCAGCGTCCGTGCCCTCGCGCCCGAGAAATCCCGTCCGCGCCTGCGAAACCTCACCCNCACCGAGCTACATCGAGCCATTGGGCGAACCACCGAGCCCGGGCGCACCCGGCGGCCGCCGACGATATTTTTCGTCCGCCGGCGAAATTTTCCGGCGACTGGCGACTTTTCCGGCCAAAATTTCCGGCGAACCTCTCGGGCCCCGTTTTCCGGCCGCCGTCGATATTTTTCGGCCGGAAATGACATTTTTGACCTCCCAGGACCGTTTCGAGCCGTTAGAGCCACCGGAAACCTTATTTTGCGGCGATTCGACCTCTTCACTCGTTTTTCGTAGATTTTTTACTCTCTTGGAGCTTTATCGTGGTTCATTGCTCGATTTCTCTTACTCTTGGCGCCGAGATCACCGTTTTACGAGGTACTTCACTTAAACCAACTCGAGCCATTTGTATTTGAATTGGGCGTGATTTTATTTATTCGAGAGTGATTTGCACTAAGTGTGGGGGAGGTGTATCGGGGGTTCGTGAGCTTATATTGACAATTTAAGAGTTTTGGTGATTGGTTTTCGGTGTTGAGGTTCGTGGGGGGATTTTGTTTATTATTTGGGATATGTGGTGTTCGTGGCATGTAGTTTTGTTGATTTTGTTGAGCTTTCTCGCATACGTGTGTATTCGTCGAGTTTGTGGATTCTCGGTTATTATCCCTCCGAGACACATACATATGGCTTTTACTCGGAGCCGACGGACGGGATTCTTTTATGCTTTCACATGTGATAGTGCCCGGTTGGCGTATGGATCATTATGCTTTCATTGTTCACACGGTCGGATGGCTTTATTTTGCACTCGATAGCTTTCGGATTATTGCTCTTTTTCCACCGGACGAACACCATTAGACACACGGTGGTGCATCACCGTGTAGAGTACGCATTTTCTTTACTTATTTTTTTTTCTCTTAATTGCTCTTGTGTGCTTTTGTGTTTCCTTTCTTTTGTATGCTCGTTTATTGTGTTTCGTTTTGTGTATCGCATGAGCTTACATGATTATGTGCTTTTTCCTATGCTTTTTGGGTCAAGCAATGAGGACATTGCTTTGTTTTAAGTGTGGGGGAGGGACTTCGTGATTATGCTTGTTTAGGCGATATTTCTTTCGTTTTTTGCTGCTTTATTTTTCGTATTTGTTGTGTCGTGGACCGGTTTTATTTGAGTTTTTGTGTGTTTGTGTCACCTCTCTCCCGCATGAGGCTCGATGTTTGTTCAAGAGTCAAGATGGCTAAGTGGTGAGTCGAGATAGTTGATTGGTTCATTTATTAACGTTTATGCTTTATGTACTTGATGAATTGGACGGTGTCCTAAAATTGAATGATAATTCGTTGACATGGGAACCCGCATGTGAATTCACGAAATTGTTTTGTCCCTCGTTTGTTCTCGATTGATGATCTTGAGACATAATTGACTTATGCTCGATTATTGTAAACGTTTTATGCTATACACTTGTGGTACGTTTTGATTGATTTGTTATGTTCATGATATTGTATTTGTGATGTATCCTTGTGAGCCACTCCATTCGAAAAAATAAAAAAAATAAAAAATAATAATAAAATAAAATAAAAGCAGCTCGTTTGGAAAAAGAAGCTCACATAATAAATAAAAAAAAAAGAAGAAAAAGAAGAATGGGAGTTGGCTTATTGGTTTCGTGCTTATCATCCTTATATGTTTAGTAGACCATTTATAGCTTTTTGCACGTGTATGTAGAAAAAGTGAGTTTGAATCGAGTAATCATGTGTAGAATAACTTGGGATGGGTTTTTGTCTTGTATGGATTCACTATGTGGGGAACGTGTTTTTAGATTTGAGTTTGATTTTATGGATAACCGGATGAAGATGAGTGTTTCATTTCGTATGCTCGTTAATTTTGGACTTCTCAATTTTTCTTTTCGAGCTACTTGTTGTTTTGTTTGCTTGAGGACAAACAAAGAGTTAAGTGTGGGGGAGTTGTTTATTGTGTTTTTGTGTTTATTTTCGTGTGTTTTATGTGCTTTAGTTTAGTATTTTTAGGTTCGTTTTAGTGTCGACCGGTCCATTTTATCGTGTTTCGTGCATTTTTGCTTTCGTATTGTATTTTTGTGGTTCGGCGTACTTTTCTTGTCTTTTTGGTGTTGTGTAGGTCCACAATAGTTGGGTTTGGGATACGAGCCTTTTCCGAGACCTTTCCGAGCCGTCTGCATCATGTCCGAGCCACGCGAATCATTTCCGAGCATATATATTAATTGCACGGTGATATCGATTTGAGCATCTCAAGACGAGGAGAAAAAGATTTGAAGAGCGTGGGTCGAAGTTTCGAGTCAATCGGAGAAGCGTGCGAGAAGTTAGAGCAAATTGAGCATCAAAAGATCATGACCGAGCTCTTACCCGCTTCCAGCAACTCGTGCCCGCGAAGCAGCTCGCGAGGTCGCGAGTCCCCAGCTACAAGCCGCACTGCCCGCGAGTTTTCGAGCTCGCGCCCGCGAACTCGCCATCTGCCCGCGAGTTCCCATACCGCACACCACTGCTCGCGAGTCTCAGCTGCCGCGCCCGCGAAATCGAAGATGCCTGCGAGTTCACGTCCCCAGCGCCCCAGGCCGCGAGCTTCAGTACCCGCGTGCACGAACCTTGCCCAGTGCTCGCGAGTCCCGTGCTTTGCTTCAGTGCCCGCGAAATTCGAGCCAAAACTCGCGAGTAAGCCTTAGCTCACGAGTTTTATCATTTAATGTGTGTGTTTTAGTGTGTGTTTGAGGTGTAGCTATAAATAGACTTGTTGCTTTGTATTTTGAGAACAATTCCTCATTTGCTAAAATTTTCCTTTTAGTTTTTTCTCTCCTCCTTCTCTCTAGTTTTCTTTCTCTCTCTAAGGGCTCTAAGACCCTATTTCTATTGTAATATTTCTCCATCAAGATTACAACTTTTCGGCTTATTTCTTCTCGTGCATGCACTAGAGACTTGGAGACTTCGTTTAAGGTCCGATTGGAGACTTAGTTGAAGGTCCTAGATCTCGTAAGTCTTGCCTTGTCTTTACTTATTGAATTCATTCTAGGGTTAAGATAAGAGCTTCCATGGGTCGATTATGCTATCATCCTCGTAGGCTTGGGATTATGTGATTGTGTTATTGATTGCGTTAGCTTATTTGCATGAGCGAGAATTAATTGAGAGATTGATTGGTTGATCGCGAGTGACGATTGCTTGATTACATGTTCCTGAATCTATGAGTGCCTTCTTTCCATCTCGGGTCTAGAGTACCTTGTTATTTTTCTCTCTATTTTCTTTTTTTTTTTTTTTTCGTGCAATTTGAGGTGTTGCTTGCTTTAAATTACGAATCTTGCTTTCTCTAGCTTAATCAAACCACCAAATCATGCTAGTAGAATGTTTAGGACTTTTTATTTTTCTTTCGTCTGAGTCAATTGTTGCTTGAATCCGTGTCCGAATAACCTTCCTTTGAGAACGACCCGAGTCCGGGTAGCTCGGTTACCACTTACCCGGATTTTGGCCTTGCCTGAGGAAAAAGACTCCAGCGAAAGAGAGACACAAGATTGATTATTTTACCTGCAAGCGAAAGGGGGAAAATGCGGGTTAAAGGAATCAAAGAAAACTAATTCTAATTTTATATTATATGCAAACAAAAAAGATGCAATGAATAGATTCATAATTTAGTAAGATAAGTATTTTGTCGGTGAACATGTTTGCAGCAGCTGCCATGGCAAGTTCATCAAGCTCGGTTCGAGTGACGCCCGAGATGTGGCACCGGCGTTTAGGTCATCTTTATGATAAAATTCTACATTCTATTTCGTCTATTTTTGTTAATAAAGACCATGGGAGTGTATTCAATGCTTGTCACTGCGCAAAACATGCACGATCTTTCTCACCTAGTGATAAAAGAGTCGTAGCTTCATTTTTCTTGTTGCATTGTGAAATTTGAGGACTCTATCACACGAAATCAATTTTTGGGGCTCATTATTTTCTCAACATTGTTGATAATTATAGTCGGGCCGTTTGGACTTTCTTGATGCGTGATAAATCCAAAACTTATCGTATTTTGTCTATTTTTTTAACGAAGATTCACACACATTTTGGTCGTGTCGTTCAATTTTTTCGATCAGACAATGGTAAATTCAAAATAATAATAGGAAAAAAAAAAATTAAAATCATGAGGATAAGAGCATCACTAGCAAACTAGCCCATATGCTGAAGATCAAATCCAAATTCACACATTCCAACGAGCCGCTGACGTCATTCCACCATTTCTTTCGTTTTTTATTTGCTCAATTAATCGCCGTTTGAGCACCAGTATTTAACTACCATTTCCTTTTCCTTTCTGTTTGCTTTTATCCGATCATCTCTTCGTGTTAAATTCTAACAAGTTTTGCTTTGAGCTCTTGGAGAAGAAAATCGTTGAGTGAAAATATGAAGCAGGCTGCAGATGTTCATCAGCGAATTGCAAGAATTTCAGCTCACCTTAATCCTCCCGCGAATCATTTCCAGGTCTACATTATTTTTTTTTTTTCTTACTATTTTCCTCTTTACTGTTCTGTGTGGGAATAAGAATGGGAACAAGACTTCTCGCCCCGTAGTTTACTTGATTTAAACGTTCAATTAAGATGATCATGGGTACTGAAAGTAATTCACTGCGTAACTTTGGCGAGGAAGGAAAATATCAGATTTTAGGAATTCGACTTGGTTGCTGATGTATGAATAGATTGAGTAAAGTGATTGAGCTTTTCTACTTCTGCAGTTGAATTTCATCTGGAAATGAGTGGGTAAATGTGGAGTTGTCAGTGGGTAGATCTTTATAACGTATGTGTGATTTGGGTTGAAAGGTAGGCGAGAATTCAAGCATATGGCGTGAGGATTGCCGAGCCAAAGGAGGTTCTCCGGGTTTCAAAGTGGCAATATTGGGGGCTGCTGGGGGCATAGGCCAGCCTTTGGCGATGCTGATGAAGATGAACCCATTGGTGTCCGTGCTTCATCTGTATGACGTGGTCAACACGCCAGGTGTCACTGCCGATATCAGCCATATGGACACTGGTGCAGTGGTAATTATCACCTTCCGATCCCTTTTGAGGCCACAATATATTTCTTCAGTTTTCCTAATTTCTACAGAACAATTTGATTTTTCAGTTTTTGTATAATCCTATGGTTTGGATCATTTGAATTGGAACATAGCATTGGTAGAGGCTCTGCCCTTTATTTTGAATATCCTTTTGGGATATATTGCTGAGCTGCTGGTGGTTAGCTGTGAAAGGTGGTGATAAATACACAGTTTTTGTTTATGAGATTAGTTCTGCTTTGCCAAAAAGCATTGCTAGGGAATGAATGTCTTTGGCCTTGATTTTCACCTTCGTCTTTGTTTTCTGATGATAAATTGCTGTCCAGTGTGACACTAGTCACCTTATGATTCAAGCTTTCGGAGTAAGTGAGTCACGACGTATAAATATTCTTTTACAAAGGAATGTAATGATGATTCAATCAACTGTTATCTGGAAATTCATAAAGCTTAGAATCTTGTATGTTTTCAATCGATTCATTCGTTTCTTTGGCCTTGATGAAACATGAGTGTACATAACCCTTAAAGAAAACTTTCTCAGTTTAAATCATCGAATCAATTCTGTAAATGCACATTTTTGGTAAATAAGCCGCAATAACTTGATATATATCCAATCTTATCAAACAAATTAGCACATCATAAATGAGTAATTAGCTTGTGTAGAAATTAACTCAATTCTTTTTTATAATTAGGTTCGTGGGTTTCTGGCTCAAAACCAGTTGGAAGACGCACTCACGGGCATGGACCTTGTAATAATCCCTGCTGGTGTTCCCAGAAAACCTGGAATGACTAGGGATGATCTTTTCAACATTAACGCTGGAATTGTAAAGACTCTCTGCGAAGGAATTGCCAAGTGCTGCCCTAATGCCATTGTCAACTTGATCAGTAATCCTGTGAACTCTACGGTTCCAATTGCAGCAGAGGTTTTCAAGAAGGCTGGGACCTATGATCCAAAGCGTCTCTTGGGAGTCACAATGCTTGATGTGGTCAGAGCTAATACATTCGTGGTAAGCAAATGTTTTCATTAGATTTTTTATTTTTATTTTTTTTATTGTTATTATTTTTTTTTCTATCAATATAATTACAGTAAACGAACATCCTTTTTCACTTGAAATGTTTTGGCATGTCCTACATATATCACTTGTCATATGTGGAAGTTTTTCAGGTTACACTTTTAGCTCCGTTATAGACATCATTTTTTGGTTTGATCATAAAAAATGAAAGTTGATCCTAAATGTATTTTATTGGCCAAATTTTTCACTATATATTCGTATGTTAAGGCTGAAGTTTTGGGCCTGGATCCACGGGAAGTTAATGTTCCAGTAGTAGGGGGGCACGCAGGTGTAACGATTTTGCCACTACTCTCCCAGGTTTAAATGATGAAATTGATTTTATAGTTACAGTTGCAGTCATTGCATGTAATTATTAGTTATTTTTCATATTAAATAGGTTAAACCTGCGTGCTCTTTCACTCGAGAAGAGACCGAGTACCTGACATCCCGCATTCAGAATGGTGGGACTGAAGTGGTTGAGGTAGGCCTGAGTTCTGGATGAGTTCAATATTACTTTTGTTTGTGATTAACAGTTCAGTTTTGTGTTATGGAGCAAGTTTACGTGGTGTTGATTAACAGCTATCTACGGCCTATCACCATGATTACATGTGCCCAACGCATGTTATATAATGAATCTGTGCTAGAAAGAACAAATTATTTCTGTGCAAACAGAAAAAATGAGATGAATAAAATGTTTGTGAGTGGAGAATGAACATTTTTTATACCCTTTCATATCGGTTTGATTTTTGTTAGAATTTTACTTGCAACATGAAAACATGAAAAAAATGGTTACTTCTCAATTTGGTAAAAGTCATGCACAAACCGAGCAAAACTGAGGCTGGTTGTTCTTATCCCATATACCAATTTGACATATTTTGAAATTTTAAAAACTACTTCCTGAGAGGGGGCCGTTTTCTAGGTAAATGTAAAATCTGAAGGTAGTACTTCTGTTGGAAGTTTGTAATTACAAAGATAGAAGGAGGTCGAATGGCCCAAATGTTCTAGTTTGTGATATTTTTTCTTTGTTAAAAAATAAAGAAAAATAAAACCGATGTTTTTTTTCTTGTGGAACATTGATACTTATTGGAAGTTGGACCTGGTTTCTTGAGAAAGTTCTCGTTCGCTTTTCCTGTAGAGAATTGTATTTGATTTCTCAAGAAACCAGGTCCAACTTCCAATAAGTATCAATGTTCCCTATTTCATTCTCTGCTGTGTTTATTTTTTAAGTAAAATCTTTTGATTTCCCTATTGGCAAAAAGATGTCCCACAGGACATAAATTGTTGAGTGTTAGATTGATTAAAGTAATCTTATACCATCATATAATCTATCTGTGGATAGAAAAATATTAGCTAGACGTTTATGTTTTTCATGGGTCTGGGACAATCAATGAAGTTAAGAGTTGTTAATTCATATGTTGAATGACCTGAATTGCAGCGAAATGTTTATTCAAAAGTTTCCCCTACATTTACTCATGTGTTTTTTATTGCTACAGGCTAAAGCAGGGGCTGGTTCTGCTACCCTTTCAATGGTAGGCTGCTACAATTGCCGCACAATTTTATTTAGTGGATTTTGCCATTCAATAACAAACTTCGAATAAAAAATAAATATTGTGAAAATGAAAAATATTGTGAAAATGAAATGTGACAGGCGTATGCAGCAGTAAAATTTGCGGATGCTTGCTTGAGGGGATTGAGGGGAGACGCTGGAGTTGTTGAATGTGCATTTGTGTCTTCCCAGGCATGATTTTGACTAAACTTGCTGATCCTCATTGAACGAAAACGAGAAAAAAAAAAAAAAAGTGTTTCGATCCTTGATATGTTAAAACTGTATGATTTTTTATTTTATTTTTCCCTTTTCAGGTAACTGAACTTCCATTCTTTGCTTCAAGAGTGCGGCTTGGGCGTAATGGAATTGAGGAGATTTATCCACTCGGTCCACTGAATGAATATGAAAGGTTCGCAAAAATAACAGCTCAACATTCTCATTCCTCGTTTCTTGCATTGTAATTTTGCATTTAACAATACATTTGTGATGGTACCAGGGATGGATTAGAGAAGGCGAAGAAAGAGCTAGCTGGAAGTATCGATAAGGGTGTCTTGTTTGTTAGGAAATGAACATTGTATGCATATTGTATCGTCCTTTTTTTTTTACCATCATATAGTTTGCATACTCGACCACTCTTCTGAATAAAGTGGTACCACTTGTTGTACTTGAATATCGGTCGGATTTTTATCTCTTGAGTTTTTTGTCTTGTTTTCGGACAAAACATGTAATGTATGTTCTCAGAGAAATAAATACTACGGATAGTTAAATCCATTTGCTAATATGTTTTAACATATTTTCACCTGATGGGGTCTTTTATTCCAAATAGCTGGGCCTTTGCTCATCTGTACGGATAAATTATGAGTTTTGATTGCTCAAGTCAACTAAATGGACATATAGGGACTCTTTAATAACGCTGTGCACCACAACTTTTTTCTAGTAAAGAGGGCTCTCAGGATCATGTAAGAGCAGTTAAAGTGTGATTAGCCTTTCATACTTGTGGGATGCCTATTTATATAAAAATTGGTTCTCTCTCCTGTAAGTTTTAGGATGTTTGTTGAGATCCCAGCAAATTCAGTTGAGATTTCCCAAGACATGCACGAATCCACTTTTATTTTATTTATTACTATTTTTGTTTTTACATTTTGGTCCCCTATTCTTAGAGCATTTCTAATAGAATGTCTATTGTAGAATTTGTAGAGGCATTGAAACAAAAAACTTTTCCGGTGAATATTTTAACTTCTACTTGTGATGATGTGGCATGAGAGAGACTCAAAAAATCTAGAAGTACTTCTACATATGATGATTTGGCATGAGAGAGACTCAAAAAAATCTAAAAGTCTTTCTACACGTAAAAGTCCTTCTAGACTTGACGTCTAGAGATTTAACCTCAATAACATAGATAAAAAGTTGAATTCGAGTAATATTGATAATTCTAATATTGATAATTAAATTATACAGGATAATTATGTAAATAAAAAGTTGAGCAACTAGTCGGGCTTACAAGGCTCTTGAAATGATGCTCGAGGCTCGACTCGTTTGCTCAATTGAACTACTCGAGCGCTCGCGAGCTCCTGGTAAGCCGCTCGACTAATTTACAGCCCTAGTTCGAGCGGTCGGATCATTCACATAAACACATATCTTGCCATTGTAATTTTCAAGGAAAATCTGGACTCCAATTGAGCCGTCCTGTCACTGGAAAATGGAGTTTCTCATTTATACATCAGTTATTAACAGATCAAAATGTTGGAACTTTTGCAAGTGAATTAAATGAGGTTAGATTCTGAATAGACTGAATTATGGCCAAGGGCTCTTTAAATGAAGAGCCAAGAAAAGGTCTCGAATAAATGTAACTAGTATTCGACCTTGTGCATTTGCACAGATGTAAATAAAATTAAATATTATAAGTTATATTTATGTATATAATATAAAAATTATAAGTTATATAATTGTATTATATTTCAAACATATAGTATTATAAGTTATATTTATGTATATAATATTAAAATTATAAATTATATAATAGTATTATATTTTAAAATTTAATCATTGGTTAAAATAAATAGTACACACGATTTGATTGTATACGAATCACTATATTGATTGCATAAAATGCAATAAATATATACTTTTTATAATTTTGAGTGATCATGACCAATTAATTAGCTGAAAAATATTACATTTATTATAACAATTGCTTATGTGATTTTAAGAAAATTTACTATGACATAAAAAAATTAATTTATTAATAAACAACATCTTCATCATATAAAAAAATATTGATTTTAGTGTAAAATATAATTTTATGTAACTTTCATATATTATTTAGTATAAAATATAATTACTAATTTTAATATTAACTATTATATTATTCAATAAAAAATATAATTATTAATCAATTAACATAAAATATAATGGTTTTTATCTTAATTAACCCAAAAAATGTAATGAAATATTTTCTTATTAATGAGATTGGGTGTATTAATGCCACATAAATAAAATTTATTAGGTTCTATTTATTAGGTAAAAATTTATTGCTTAGCTAGCAATTATATATATATAGATTGTTTACTTCCCGTCAATGGTAGTGCAGAACAGGACATATAATCATTGCACCATTTAATTCTTCTAATTAATACTACCTCTTATTCTTTTTAAATGTCATTTTAGCTTTATCAACTATTAACCAAAATAAATATCGTTTTGGATCTTTTATATATATTTTTCCATTATTACCCTCATTTAGTTAATAAATACACTACGTCTTTTCATATTCTTTTCATTTTTTTTTTTTTTAAAACATTCATCTATATCTTCATTAATGAAGGTTATTATTGGCAAAAAAATTATTCTTAATTAGTGTGCAACTTTCTAAAACGACACTTATTATAAATAGGAGGGAGTATGTAAATATAAATCCTGCAAATAGCGTTATTTGCAATTTGAAACTCAAATGCGAATCCCAATTGCTTTGGTAATTGAGAATGACAACCAATGCACATCAGTCCATACGGTTGAATTACAAGGCCCCCGCTTTCTTTATTCAAATCAAATGACACGTTAATAAAATATATTAAAATATTCAATTGTGGTTGTCTCACATTGTTTATATAGGGAAAATATGTCTAATTTATAAGTATAATGGGTTACTCCTCTATCCACCAATTAGTTTTGGGATGGAACCCCACTTAGACTTCATATGAGCTTTTCATGTTATGGCACGCTTCACGTGCGTGGGACCGCACCCGATATAGAGTACGTAATGTAAATCCCTCTATATATTAATTCAAAACGTGCTAAGCTTAGGTGACAGATTCACATGCTTCGTGATTCTATGTGACAAAATTACATATTCCGTTATTAGGCTTGGTTAAATTTTAATTTACTTCCAATCTAAAAATAATTAGGTCTGGATTATCCATAAATATATTGATTATTTATTGTCATGTTAGAGCATCCACAATGCATTTGGTTCAATCATAAAAAATTGTATGCCACCAAAGAAATAAACCTAGTATAAAAAGTAGATTGGGTTCTACTGATGTGGCAACCAGAAAAAGAGACTCAGTCTACCCTTATTCTCCAATGCAAACAAAAGTAGACTGGGTCCTGCTGATGTGACAGCCAGAAAAAGAGACCCGGTCTACCCTTAAGTCTATTTTAGATTCAAGTAGATACCTAGTCTCTTTGCATTGGAGTGAATTTTGTTAATTTTACATGGTTTTATCCATGTCATCCAAGACTTGGGTTTATTTACATATCACATATGCAAGACTAGACTCAATACATTGTAGATGCTCTTACATGTATTAATTACATTTAATTATCATTTCTTATTGTAACCATTGAATTGTAAATGTATTAAAAAATTTAATAACTTTTGTATTTTTTATCAGCTTTACATATATAATATGTTAAATTAATCATCTCTTGATGAGCTTCGATTTAACATCCATATTGTATGTATAAAAAAAATAAATTATATTTATCTTTATAACAATAATATTTTTTTAATATTATTTAGAAAAATCTATTTATTTATCATTTAATATATTTATATTTCAATTAGTTATATGATATAAGTTATAAAAATTACTATAATATAACACATGTAAGTTGCATAAGTAACAAGTGTCATTCTAAAATATCTAATAATATATATATTTTCTAAACAAGTAAATAAAATATAAAAGAATTTCTTTCATTAATTTTAAAATTTAAGAATAATTTTTTAACATGCACCCGGTAATACACAGGTGTTGTACTGGTGTGTGTTTAAACACAAAAGTTAAAATAGAAGCAATATGTAAATAAAAAATATCTTCGGAGAGCGTCCAATTAGCCTTTAGAGCTCTGTCATTAATAGATCGACTTGCGTGCACAAAGTACATCGTGGATTTACATGATTCGGACTTCCTGTACGTCTAATCAACACTATACTCGACTCTATTAACTACTTCCTAGCCACCAAGCGTGAACTTTGAAATGACTATAGATCTCTCCTAGCTACAAAACTACTTAATCTCCAAACACTCAAAGTGTTTGTAAAGAAAGAACAAAAACAGATTTTCAGTGATGTAAGAACACAATGCTGAATCAATGGAAAAAGAAACTAAAAATTTCACAAATACTCAATGAAATTAGAATGATGATTCGATAAGTGCAGCTGCCTTTCAATGAGTATTCGATCACGTATATGTACAAACTCATCAAATGTAAGGAGCCTTCTCATTTTCATGCATTGACTCATTTCCATGTGAGGTCAATTTTCTTCCCAATTATCTCCTTCAATGACTTGGACATGATCAACTCCTTATTTCTTAAATTTGGCCTATAATCTTTCCTTTAGGGTAAGTTTTCTTCAAGTAGAATCCTGTTATGTGATTTGGAGATCTTCAGAATTACGTTTCCAAAATCGTGCAGAAAACATTACTTTCCATAAGTAGTCGATCTTCCAAAATCTAAGAGATCTTGCGGTGAATCTTTCTAAATCCTCCTTAAATTTCTAAAAAAAATACGGTCAGGATCCTTCATGTAAGGAAGCTCATTCTTTTATAGTCTTGTTCACATATTTCTTGTACTACAAGAGAGAAAAAACTAATTATGGCATAGAATCCAATTCATTGATACAAGTGACATATACGGTAAGTGAATGTATATAAGTGTTGACATCCGAGATGAGCTGGACGAATTCGGGATTAGATACTACTATTAAATAAAGATACAATCGAGCAGAGCACTCAGGTCGGGGGAAGACGAGCAAGAGCAAACTTTGGAAACATAAGCAGATGGTCGCTGAGCTAGAAGCAGCCAAAACATTTAGGTCGGATAACCACAAATGCAAACTCGACCTAAAAAGTCATCATGCAACGAGTCCGAGCTCAAGACTTGGGCAAAATGAGAAAGATTGATTTGCAAGGACCTGATCACACTAAGGTGGCAGAAAAACAGAAAATATTAAAATAATAGCAACTTGCAGTCGCATCATCAATAACATGACAAGCCTAACAAAAGCATGGTCGCCTGCATGAAAAAGCTCCATAAGGTGATGTGGGGTCTTAAATGAGGGTCATTTCTACTTAATACTCAATTGTATTGGCCGTGGAACAGTAACCGGGTTATACTTACTATAAATAGTCCTAGGAGTCTATGGAGAAAGGGTTCAAGAAAATTCTCTGTAAAAAAGACGTATGTTCCTTCATTAAATACGGTCTTCTAGGCAAATATCAGACCTCAATTGTGAAATTAGGGGTGGGCGAAAAAACCGGATTTCTCGATCCCGAACCGGACCGAAATGGTCCCGTTCCGAAAAAATAGGGTTCCAATCGATTTTTAAAATTTTCGTCCCGGTCCTGGTCCCGAACCGGTTGAAACAATGTCGGTATCGGTTTTTAATATTTTTTTCCCGAACCGTCCCGTTTGTCCCCTTTTTTTTTGTACAAAAATATTATATATATATATATATACATATTACATTAATTTATATTTATTAATGAAATCTTAANTATTTACGGGCACAACGCACAAACTACAGAATCCAAATTCCCAAATTCCCAATTCAGTTAACATTTTTTTTTAAGTGAAACAGCCAAACAGGCCAACAGGGAATAGTTTAGTTTGAAGTTTGATTTTTGAACATTTTTTCCCGTTTTGTCCCGGTCCCGAACCGTTTTGTCCCGGTCCCGATTGATACCGTTCTGTTTGGGACGAGGTGTCGTCCCGGACCGGTTCAAAAAACTGGGGGGTAAAATATACATAACCCCCCTGTATTATACGAAATCTGCACGTTTTCCCCTGTTATTTTAAAAATTGCGTCAGACCCCCTTGTATTTAACTAACTGTTGCACGATTCCCCCCCTCCGTCTAACTTGACGGCGCGTGCAGTACACATTGGTCTTATGCGATAATTATTCACTTTTTTCTTATTTTTTATTTTAAATTTACTATTTTGCCCCTTGTTTTTCATGCCATTATTGACAAAAAATGATTTGTTGCTCCTAGGATTCGAACTTGGGCCAAAAGCTGCATAGCAGAGCTTCCAACCATTGCGCCACCATCATTTTGTGGAACATACCTAGCACCACTTTTATTTAGAACAACAACACAGAGAAAAACTTAATCAAAACAAAAAATAAAATAATAAAAAAAGAAGTAACTATAAGGAAATATAATTAAGATAAAATAAAATAAAAATTAAATTAGAATAAAATATAATTTATTCCATTATTATATTTTTTATAATATAGAATATATTTACTCCATTATTATAAAATATATATACTGAATTATTATATTATTTATAATTTTTAATTATCATTATATTAGTTATCTTATATGACCTATTTACTTAATTATATATTACTTATAATTTAGATTATATTTACTTAATTTTTATATTATTTATAATTTTGAATCTATTTATTCAATTATTACAAAATCTACATATTAAATTATTATATTATTTATAATCATCATAATACTTTAGTTCAATTATTATATTATTTATAATATAGAATAATATATATGCAATCATTATATTATTTATAATTTAGAATATATTTATTTATTATATTATTTTCGTCCGATATTATATATATATATATATGAAATCACATTTATACCTAAATGACTAGTAGTCTTGTTGGTGGAGAATTCATTTTTACAACCCAAAGGTCATGGGTTCAATCCCCACCATTGGTACTTTATTTTTAAGTCAACATATTTGACAATAATGGCATAATGGTAAATTCATTAATATAGTAAAAGTGGAATGGTAAATTCGACAAAAAAGTAAAGCCGTCAGCACTAAAGTAACGGCGTTAACATCAAATGGCGAGTATGCATGCAGAAGTTAAATACAAGGGGGTTTGACGCAATTTTTGAAATACCAGGGGAAAACGCGCAAATTTTACATAATACAGAGGGATTTGGTGCAATAAACCCAAAAACCGGGACAGGTCCAATCCAGGACCGTCCCGGACTGTGCCCACCCCTATGTGAAATTATCCGACCTCATTATTACTTGATTTTACGCAAATTCATCATACTATACCAAATTTAAATTGTTTAATCCTCTTGATACCAGCACTAATTCGGTGCTTCTAGTTGATAAAATCCCATCATCAACGATAAAATATATATTCTGTAACCCTTCTTCTAAAAGATTAGTACTCCATAATACATACTATAATAAATATATATCATATATTAATAATTATAAATACTAGGAACTTAATACGTTACAAGTAAATAAATAGAAAAATTGTCTTTAATTTATTTTGGTTGCATAACAAGAAAATCTTCTAAAAAAATACTTTGGTTAGTCGGACGATGCCAAACCAACATTGAACAAGGCTTATGATATTTTCTATTTTAAAGTATTGATATATTTCACTTGTACACCTTAATATTATTTCATAAAGCGAATGCACATTTCACAAAATTATATAATAATTACAACACCAAAAGGGTCAAGCTCGTGATACCCAACTATTATCTAGTTGAGTCGAGTCCAACTCTTTTAAGTTAACGAGCTAATAAATGAGAACAAATTTCACTCACTAACGAATTGAATTATTCTAAAAAAAATTAAAAGTTTTGTACATATTCATATTTTTTAGATTTGACATATCAATCTAAATCAAACTCGTTAATTAACAGAGTCAAATTTAATATCTATACTTATATTAAAAGGGGGTCCTATTTACCAAATTAAGTAGCCAGAAAAGTCAACAGCATTTATTGCATTACTATTTCCGTATTATGTAATCTATACTTATATAAAAAGAGATTCTATTTACTACATTTACTATCCAGAAAAGTCAACTGCATTAAATGTCATTACTATTTGGGTATTATAATATTTTATTAATTTAATTGATTTATTTATTTGTTTTATTTTAAAAAAGGTAAGTATAATAAAAAGATTTTAATAATAAAAGAATCAAATACCAAATAAAAATGTACACTTTGACTTATTTGAGTATATTTGGTATTTGATTATACCAAATATATTCCTATTTAGTATATATATTAAATACTTACTAAAGTATTTATTTGTTTTATTTGTCAAAGTTAAGTATAGATTTGTTTATATTATCAAATCATAAAAAAATATTAAATCCATATCGTAAAAAAAAAAATTCATATAATTTTATAACAATTCTACTACACTATTTAACAATATTCTTTTTTTATTATATAATAAAATAATAATTAAATATTATATGGTGAACAACAATAAGTAAAACTGTTACTTTCTCTTATATCAAGGGATAAATTTATATGCTAAAATTAAATTTTTATTAGTATAAATGTTTTAGTGAGATAATATATTAATTATTTTACAAGCTAGCCCTAACATGCTCATATTTAATGTTTTAAANACAACACATTTGAATTTGATAACTAAAAACTCTTACATACATCTTAAGCTTGAAAGGAATCACACCATAGTGTATAGAAACTGGATACACACATCAAACATAATTTTAAGATGACCTTAGTCCCTCATTTGTGTAGAGTTATAGGCATCATCTAAATAAAACGCAGAAAGCAAGGACGAACTTTTTAGTAGTTAAGATAAGGTACACATTTAACTATAGATACTAAAATGCATTCAAAAAAAGAAAAAAATTTGGCGTAACAAAATCCATATTTTAACACATGCTCCACATGATGCATTATAAAACAATCACAGTCAGTAACATAACAAAAAATCTATAGGATCCCAACTCCCAAATACCTTGCTCGAGTAGGTCAAGTTCCAATTACCATTATATAAATCATAATCACTTTACAGTGCTTACAGATATACAACAAGATGGATACCAAATGTGTGATCTATATAGTTCTTTACAAGTTACAATACTCTATTCTTCCAAAAAATATGCACGCCTGTAAAACCATCTTTGACGTTTTCATGTCACATTACTCGTATCCCAGTCACAACTCAAGGGTACTTCCCATTCCTGAAAATCGAGCAAAAGAAATACTTTAGATACAAATATGGAAAACCAAGTTTATAAGTGATCAGAGTCGAGTCACACCTGTTAGCATGTTCGCTCAACGCATCATTTATAAATAACGGGAAAAAGAAAAGAAAAAAAAAAAAGAAGAAGAAGAAGAAGAAGTAGTTCAACATCAAAACAACCACAAAGGCACCAATACTAGCTGATCCCAAACATTCAAATGAACTAAAAAGAACACTCTCAAGCTCCCAGAGTAGACTAAACTACCCCCTAATATTCAAATGCTAAGGAGATCCTGAACAGGTGGTTCAGAAGAATCCAAATCCGATTTCGGTTTCGCCACATCAGCATCCTTCGAGTCTCCTACTTTTTCATCGGGCAGCTCGGTCAGCATCTGCACAACTTCCCGCATGGTAGGGCGCTCGACTGCTCGATCCTCCACACAGAGCATCGCCACATAAAAGACGTGCATCACTTCATGGAGTGGGACAGTCGAGAGCCTTTGATCGAGGATCTTGAGCACGCCTTCAGTTGCGCCACCTGTCATTTTCCGAACCCACTGCACTATGTCAACACCGTCACCAAACTCGCCAACGGGCTTTCGGCCCGCGACAAGTTCCAAGAGAACAACCCCGAAGCTGTACACGTCACTCTTCTCGTCCACTCTCAGTGTGTACGCGTATTCTTCAAAAAAAAAAAAATAATGATCATTTTTAGTAAATGGAGGTAAATTTTTATAATAATATTTTTTTTTTTAAAAAAAAATATTGGTTTTGGGGGGATGAAGAATAATTTGGCTGTTGTCATGAAATAAAAATGGTGCCAACAAAATCCACCAACCCCAGTTAGGTTATCCAATAACCAGATACCCTCATCCACATGTGAATCTTGAAAATGAATGAACAATAATGTGCATATTCTTATGCATATATACCTAATGTCAAATGGTTGTTGAAACTAATGGCATGAAAGGGACTGATATAGATCTCTCCTCAAGACTACGAAATCAAGTCAAAAGTAAGCGAAATTGACAATAACACCAAAACAATTAACCGATTCAAACAGCACGAAAAAGTTAACGACCTCCGAAGAAATTAGAACGCTAAAGACGACGAAATTTAAACACACATTTACGAAATTAATTAAAAATACACTACCGGGAGCAATGTAGCCATACGAACCGGCAATGGCGGACATGCACTCGGATGTCCCAGAATCCTGCAAGAACTTAGCCAGCCCGAAATCGGCAACATGGGCCTCAAAGCCCGAATCCAAAAGTATATTATTCGATTTTACATCACGGTGGACAATCAAAGGCGAGCAGTCGTGATGCAAATAGCAGAGGCCCTTTGCAGCCTCTACAGCTATCTTATATCGTGTGTCCCAATGCAAATGGCCTCCTTTTTTACTGTGAAGCATCTCACCCAAGCTCCCATTTGGCATGTACTCGTAAACCAGCAAATTCATCTCGTGATTCGAACAGAATCCAAGTAAACGAACAATGTGCCTGTGCCTTATCCTCCCTAGAGTCTGAATCTCGGCATTAAATCCATGGTCATGGTGAGATGAACCGCGGCTCATTGCCGCCAGCCGCTTGACGGCCACTAATTCCCCGTTTGGCATCACACCTTTGTAAACAATTCCGGCCCCACCTTTCCCGATAATGTTGTCCGCTTTGAGACTGTCCAAAATATCATCGCAAGTGAAATCTAGACGTTGAAAGGCCGTGAGCTTCCAAGAACGGGCCCCGTTTGCTTTCTTCAGTGACCTGGCCTTGATTATGGCCGCCACAGCAAACACGATCGAGCAAACAAGAAGTCCAATCACGAGGATAAGTTTCATGGAAGGGGAGAAAGTCGGCTTTTCGTGTAGCCTCGTGGGCCCACCGGCAATACCGGGCTTGCAGGGCCCGAGATATGGGCCACAGAGATCAGCATTGCCCAGAAATGAGGTGTAATTGAAATAACTAAACTGGCCAGTCTCAGGAACTAAACCGGAGAGATTGTTGTAAGAAAAATCGACGCAGGTTAAACTCTGCATGCTAGCTATGGATGAAGGGATGCCACCCACTAAATGATTTCTAGACAGATTCAAGTAGTTCAAGATTCTCATACCAGTGATCTCTGAAGGGATATCGCCAGAGAGATGATTACGGCTGAGGTCGACAAACGTCAGCAGCTTGCATTTGCTGATCTCGGGTGCAATGTGGCCCGAGAATTCGTTGTGGCTCAAATCCATCTTAGAGAGCTGCTGTAATTTCCCGATTTCAGCAGGGATTGGGCCTGAAAATTTGTTCCCATCGAGCAAGAGCTTCTGAACGGCCACGAAATTGCCAATGCTTGATGGCAAAGGCCCCGTGAGGTGATTGTTCGAGAGAGTTATCTGCCCAAGACTCGTGGATTGGCCGTCGGTTTCAGGGAAAGCACCAGAAAGAAGATTATCTTGAAGCTCAACTTGAGTGAGTTTAGGCAAACTCAATAGCCCTTGTGGAATGGACCCATTAAGAAAGTTATAACTCATTCGAATTCGACTCAGTGACTCGCATTGACCCAGCGAGTCAGGAATAGGGCCGATGAGAAAATTTCCGAGAGTGATTAATGTGCGAAGCTGATTGCCCTTACAGATAGTTTGGGGCAAGTTTCCAGTCAGTTTGTTTGAACTAACATCGACTTCCTGAAGATTACCATTAGTTCCCAAGTTTGGAGGAATAATCCCGGTGAAATTATTTTCCCACAACTGCAAAACTTGTAGCTCCGGCAGCTCGCCGATAAAATCAGGAATAGAGCCGGTGAGCTTGTTCCTGAAAAGGTTTAAGAGGGATAAGTTTCTGAGCTCGGCAAACGAGGGCGGTATTTCACCGGAAAACATGTTGTTTGACAGATCCAATGATATCAAGCTCTTCAGGTTGCCAATCTCGGACGTGAGGCCGCCGGAAAGTCCATTTACCTGCAGAAAAAGAGTGTTGAGGTTCTGCAGATTCCCTATCTCCGGCGGGATCTCACCGGTAAGCCCGCAGTTGGCGGCGTCGAATTTCACCAACTGCGACAACTTTCCCATCTCCTTAGGGATTCCACCTGTGAAAGCGTTATAATACCCAATGTAAAGCTCCTTGAGCTGAGTCAAGTTCCCGATTTCCGGCGGTATTTCTCCGGTGAGCTCATTACCGGAAACAGCTAAGTACTCTAGGTAAGGAAAAGAGCCGAACTCCGGCGGGAATCGACCGGTGAAGAAGTTCCCGCCGAGATGCAGATGGCGGAGGTTAGTGAGTAAATGCGCCTGGGAAGGGAAATCGCCGGTCAAGTTGTTGTTGTACAGATCGAGGACCTGGAGGTTCCCAAGGCGGTAAAGCTGTGGCGGGAAGCTGAGGTTGAAGACATTGTTGGAGAGATTGAGGTATCGAAGGCCGGGGATGTCAGAGATCTGGGGAGGAATGGGGCCGGAGATGGCGTTTGAGGCGGCGGAGAGATTGACTAGGAACCGGAGCTGGCCGATGTCCGGGGAAAGGGTTCCGACGAGGCCGAGGCCGGAGATGTCCAGCGCAGTCACGTGCCTGCGCGAGGAATCGCACGTGACTCCCCTCCACGTGCAGTGCTCCGTGGAGTCCTTCCACGACGCCAGGCCCGACTGCGGGTCCTCGGCTATGGCGGCTTTGACAGACACCAAGGCGCGGTGTTCCGTCATCCGCGGCGGCGCTGCGGTGGAGGAGCGGCTGAGGTAGAGGAACAGGACAAAGAGGAGGAGCCATGGGAGACGCATTTTTTGGGTTTTTCTGAGTTTTTTTAGCTGTTGGGATATAAATTATTGGGAAGATGAAAGGGTAGAGGTAAGGTACAGAAAGTGAGCTGAATGGGAAATGGAGAGGAAGAAGACAGTGCACACAGTACTTGCTTTTCGCTCTATGTTTTTGTCCCCTTCTCTTTTAGGGCGTTTGGTAAACTGGACTACTGGAGTATGGGCAATGAACAATAGAGAAAGGATTGATTATATAGAGGATTTAATCGAATCTGCTCATGCTTGTATAATTGGACAAAAAATGCAGTATGCATTCAATATTGTTATTTAATAATTATTTAGACAAAATCACATTATTTAATAATATACTATTTGTTTCAAAGAATAAAGTTTGTTCGGTTCAAACAAACAGAAAGAGTGCATTAATGAAATAATAGGTGCAGATCTTTTGGAAATCATATCATAAGGTAAAATGTGATGATATATCACTGTATACCTGAGCTAGGAAGATTTGAATGATTTCTGCAATTGGTTCTTTTTCAATTCAAGAGTATTATCCTTTATCAGTTATCAATTTTTTCCTAGGTTTTACAATTTTAAATTTTTTAGAATATATATTATATATAAAATTAGAATCAAATGAGAATAATAGATAGTAATTACTCATAGTAAAAAGAACAACTATTCTCTCTCTCTCTCTCTCTTCTCTCTCTATGAATCGACCCTAGATCCCCTTTTCCCTTATCTCGGCGGCGTCAATTTCTCTTCAGTAGCACCCTCCTACTAGCGTTTTCCGGCTATCTCAACCCAATTCAGTTCGGCCGTGGTGGATTGGCGTCTTGATGGGCCCTCTCTCTGAGTTCCTGGTGGTTTTGGCAGTGGGTTGGGGGTGTCCGGCGAGTCGCTGGCTTTCCATGGTCGCCGGCTCCGAGCGCTGCTTGGGCAGCTTGTTGGGGTCGGGCTTCTCGCAGCAAGCTCGTGTCTGGGTCCGGTCGGTCTCTGGTGGTGGGGATCGGTGGGATTCATCGGCAGCGGCAGCCTCCGGTCTTGACGAGGACGGGGGGTTGTGGTCTCCAGTGTTTGTGTGGGCGAGGTTTGCTGTGAGCTTCCCGAATTTTTCGACGATGGTTGCCGTTGGAAGGGTATGTGATATTCGGGCAGGTTCTGGTTAGTCGGCTTCGGTCTGGAGTTTCTTGTTTCGTGCTCGATGTCACTGCCTTGGGGTTTGGGGCTACCGGTTAGCTGGTGGAGAGTGTTTATTCTAGTATTTTTCTTTTTGTTTTTTGATTTTTTTGGGGTGTTTTTGTGATGTTTATTCTCCTTTTGGGAGTTGTATTGTCCTATTGGGAGCCTGTGGGTGTGTTGCAGCTGTTTAGGCGGCCCCTAGGGTTGTCCTCTCATAGATTTCAACTATGTAAGCTGCTCTATCCGGCCGTTACCGGTTGTCTCCTTCATTTGTAATTATGTAATCTATCTATGTAAGTCTGTCGTTTGAAAAAAAAAAAGAAAAAAAAAAAGAATAATAGATGGTAAAATAAATAAGAATGAATTGTAACCATGGGATGCGATATATGAATACTCCAGCGCCGGTCAAAGGCTTTGGCGCTCGTCAAAGGGTCGGTGACATTGCGGTAATTATGAGTGCTTTGACTTTTTCCATGTGGGTATTTTCGTCATTTTTGTCATTGCGCAAAATATGTTGGGACACTATTGTGCATATTCTCAGTCATTCATGTGCAGTTTGTTTAAAACTATTGTACATTATGTAACTCGATAACATTTTGGTAAATTCGTGGACATTTAAATATGTAAGCGTTGATAATTCTGTAAATTCTGTAAAAAACGAAGTTATTTTTAATGTGCATATCCAAACCTGATATTGTGCATTTCAATTGTGCAATTACAAAACTTTTATTAAATTACAAATTTGACTCATGACATAATATACAATATGTAATGTTTCTGAAAATTGCAAATAAATCCCTCAGATTTTTTAATTTTCAAAGAGTGGCTCCCGCCCTCTTCCCGGCAACAACCTATCCCTCATCCATTGGAAAACGAACTGCGCTGACGCCCCCAATTTTCCCGACGAATCTTTGCAATAGATAAATCATCGTCGCCAATCGATAGAGGACTCTAACGAATCCAGATCTCTGTGAGAAAGGTCACGTTGTATGCGTCATGGATTGTGGAGGGGGGGATTCATTGCTGGGGATCCGGTGATGACGTTCGTTGAGTCGTCGCCAGGGAAAAGAAGAGGTGGAGGACGGGGTCGAAGATGATAAATGCTTCTTTCCGACGATGTTCTTCACGTCGGTGTGGATGTCGATACCGCCGTGTATGATGAGGCCATGTAATGCCCCATTTATTTGTGATTTATTTGTAGTAATTATTATTATTATTATTATTATTATTATTATTATTATTATTATTATNA